TATCAACTTTGTAATTTCACTTAGAAGAAGGGTTGTCCTATGTTCTCACAATTACATTGTGGCTCCAAGAGAACTTCTATATCCTCAGTCAAAGTAGGAGTGTTTCAATAAAAACAGCTGTGATGCATGGAATACTGGATGAAATGTCTACAGAGGTTGCAATTTTACCAATGCACTCAGTGATCTTATAAGGACCAAAATAGTGTGGGCGGTATGCTATATTTCTCTTCAATACAGTTCATTTCATTCTAAACAACTCCCTTAAAAAATTACTCATGAAGGCCTTGTCTTGATCTAACACTATAACCTCTTGTATAAAAATAACGACGACAGAAACAACAATGTAGGGTTGACAGAGCGATTGTGTGTGTCCCTGCTTAACCGGTTCTTCACTATCACCACCACTAATATGACCGTAAATCCTTTTGACCGAGGTAAGCCTTCAATGAAATCCATCGCCACATTCTTTGATACCTTCTCCAATAATGCCTGAAGTTGTAGTAACCTCCCAGGCAATAATGCCATGGACTTGTGTCGTTGGCACATATCACACTTTGAGACTATGCTCTCCACATCTTTTCTCATTCCCACCCATTATATTTATGTTTCTATCCACTGGTATGTTTTGAGGATGCTTGAATACCGACCGATACCATTATCGTGAAACTCTTGTAATAACTTCATTATGTGTCTTGAATTTCAAGATAATACATAGTGTTGTCGGTAAATTAAACGTTGGTCATTCAATGAATAACCAAGATTGTTGCTCTCGCCATTCAATAAAGCTAACTAGATCTTACCCAATTCCTCATTTGCCTCAGACTCTTACATTAGGGCCTCCCAATCTAAGGTACCGTTAATGCCAACAATTGATGCTCCTCAATCCATCTTGATGAGGCATCAGTGGCCTTATTCTCTAATATCGGGCGTTACTGAATCTGAAAGTCATATCCTAATAGCTTAGATAGCCTTCTCTATTATTCCTTAGTCACTATATGTTGCTCTAATAAAAATTTAAAGTTGCATTGATCAATGCGTACTGTAAAATGTCGCCCCAATCAATTAGGTTGCGATTTTTGAATAACAAGCACCGTCGTCATAAGCTCCCGCTCATATGCTGACTTGAATCTGGCTGTCGAAGTCGTTATTAGACTAAAATAAGTGATGGTTCGTTGACACGACATGAGGACTACGTCAAGCCCATAATTTGAAACATTTGTCTCTGCAATAAATGGTTGGCTGTCAGTCAACACCAAAACTAATACACTTGTCATTTGCCTTCTTGAAGTTCTCAAAAGCCTGGGTCATATCTTCCCCCCAATTGAAAGTTATCCTTCTTCAGTTGCTTTGTTAACGACCACGAAATCGAGTTGTAATGCTTTACAAACTTCTAATTGTATCTTGTAAGTCCCAAAACTCCTCTCAATCCCTTCAAGGTCTTTAGTAGTGACCAATCAAGCATATCCATCACCTTAGATTGATCCGTTGACACCCCTGCAGCCAACACCACATGTCCTAAGCACTTCACCTTCGGTTGGGCATACAGACACTTTTTCAAGTTAGCATCACATCGTACCATTAACACCTTCTTCAACTGATCAATGTGATCTTTCAAAGAGCAACTATACATTAAGATTTCATCTAAGAACGCCAACACAAACTTTTGGGGGCAATGTTGAATCACCATGTTCGTTAATTATTGAAATGTATAAGGGGCGCCAGTGACACCTAATGCCATAACCTCAAACTCGTAGTAACCCTCATAAGTTCAAAAAGTAGGCTGGTGCTCATTCGCTGCCCGCATCTGAATCTAATGGTATTTTGACTTCAAGTTAATTTTCAAAAATGCTACAACCCTAAATAACTCGTCGAACAACTCATCAATCACCAGGATGAGAGATTTGTTAGGCATTGTTTCCTTATTCATTGTACAATAATTCATACAGAAACACCAACTCCCATGCTTTTGCTTCATTAGCAAGATAAGGCTAAAGAAGGGATTCATGCTAGGCTATTTAATCCCTGCCTCCAACATCTATCATATCAATCTCTTGATATTGTTCTTCTGCACCTGGGGGTAGCGATATACACACACACTTATGGGAGAAACTCCTTATGTTAGGTTTATCACATGTTTGTATTCCTAATCATGATCTTACGTGCACAAAGGTTTTGCATAAACTAGGGTCACATTGAAGTACTATCATCTTGTCTCCCTTCTGAAACTCCCTTGTCAGGAGTTTCCAATTCATCTTAGTCTCTCTTAGGACTGTAACAATTTATTACCTATATAACGTCAGTACTCTCTAAATCCAATGGAAGAAAATCCTCCCATCATTTAAATACTCTATAGTGTAGGCTCGGTATGGGTTTATTGGAATTACTCGGTCAACGTAGAGCATAAAGCGGTAGGGACCAGTCTAACAAAATACTTCCCAAAGTTTCTCACTGTAGTTTATTTTCATTCTCTCTCTTCGCTTATTTCTTTTTTCACGTATTAATAAGATTTTGATATAACCCATAAATAATTTTAGATAGTACAATAATAATTATATCCGGTGTCCGGATGACCAAAAATAAATATCCAATACGCAAATAATCATGAGTGCAATTGAAAGGTTTAGCGATTGCTTATTTCTTTTTTCGCGTATTAATAAGATTTTGATATAACCCACAAATAATTTTAGATAGTACAATAATAATCTGGTCCAGGGTCTTATATCGGCTGTCCGGATGACCAAAAATAAATATCCATTTCCTCAAATAATCATGAGTGCAATTGAAAGGTTTAGCGATATTCTTTGAGCTTTCATTGAACGTTGGGAGAGGATGAGGATTGAGAGTTATAATTGGTAGTGACTATACTTGTGGGAAAAAATTAATAATATAGCTTACATGATCTGGCACTCATATCCTTCGTAGGAGGTTAACTTGCGAGGAGATTGTATAGGCTTATAGGAGGCATTGTTAATGAAATCGCCATCTTAGTGATTCAATTGAATTCTGATCTGAAAAATTTTACATAAAAAAGACCGATTATGAAATATTCACCCACAAACTTAAGTGTTGTGTTGAAT